CGGATGAACTAAATTGGTACAAATGAAAAGAAAAACAAATAAAAGGAAAAAAAAAGAAAAAAGTCATAAAAATTTCAAAATATTATTTAAAAATATCAGCGTCAGCGCCATGTGGCCGACCGGCGTCCAGTTAGCGATTTCCGGTCAAAATTGGCTGGATGGACTCAATTTGCAAGAAGTAAAAAGGTTTAGGACTCAACTAACAAACATGAAAGGTTTATGATTGTCACGCCCCGCACCCTACGAGCGCGCGGTCATCCCTCGACGGTCGTATTGAACGCGACGTCCCAGGACGCGTCGCCGACCCAAACGAAACACCCAACGATAAAGGCAAGCGGAAGCGAATTTAAAACAACCCAGACAATAAAATATGACAAAGGGATAGCACAAAACAATAATTCCAAATACACAACATCAAAAGGGAATAGTGGTGGGGTATCCTACTTCGCTATACAAAAGAGGGGCACATAAAATATGGGGTAACTTGACCCGTCCTCCATCCCTGAGATACCCTGGTGTCGTCTCCAATCAATCACGGTCGCAGATCTGAAAATGGTTATATAATAACCGTGAGAACGAGTCTCAATAAGTAACCCCCTATACCCCACATAGGCCAATGCGTACCCAGACAAGTCGTACATGCAATCTACCCGATTACATATATATAATTCACATAAATGGACTTACCTCGCCATCCAACCACATGCCCACACTGCACATTAGTCAAATCATAATAATGCAATAATAGTCAATGAACACATCAAAATCATTCGAGCGCCATACACACGTACGTTCATCCAATTCAACCCAAACACATTTCACATGCGCATCCATCCAACTTTCACACGACCCGGGTCAACACCCCACAGGTCAGCCCTCCGATCAATCCGGGCTCTGTCCCGGGTCAACACCCCACAGGACCTTTCAAAAACAAACTTTCACACGACCCGGGTCAACACCCCACAGGTCAGCCCTCCGATCAATCCGGGCTCTGTCCCGGGTCAACACCCCACAGGACCTTTCACAAACAAACTTTCACACGACCCGGGTCAACACCCCACAGGTCAGCCCTCCGATCAATCCGGGCTCTGTCCCGGGTCAACACCCCACAGGACCTTTCACTAACAAACTTTCACACGACCCGGGTCAACACCCCACAGGTCAGCCCTCCGATCAATCCGGGCTCTGTCCCGGGTCAACACCCCACAGGACCTTTCACAAACAAACTTTCACACGACCCGGGTCAACACCCCACAGGTCAGCCCTCCGATCAATCCGGGCTTTTCTCATGCACATGCACCACAATACAAAATTCACCATGCTCTTAGTCATATAAATCAATTTCAATCACCACCCATTCACCAATGTCAATCTAGCACGCCACATCAGTCAACTCAATTCATGCTCCCGACATCGGCCCACCGACCCGACATTCATGTCGGCACATTCAATTAATTCAATTCACCCACAAGCGCCACAACAATTCAGTCAGGCATATTTATCTCAGTAAATCACTAAATTAGTCACACAATTACCGCCACAATAATTCACAAATTGGGCACCCTCAATCTAATTAGCCCACGCCTAAATTGATTCCTAACCCGATACTAATCACATCCTAAACAAGTCTAAAAATACCCAAAGTACTAGGTAGGGTTTAGGAAGTCACTTACCTAAGTTTGGCTCGGTAAAAGTCGGCTCGGGCCTAAAATGGCCCGAGTGAACAGTGTCTCACTCGGCGCGGGCAAGGGCGCGACGGGCGCGGGGCTCGGCCACGGTGCTCGGCCATGGGCACAGCCCTCGGCCACGGGCACAAGGCCCGGCCACGGGCCGTGCCACGGCACACGCATGGGCACGAGCGCGGGCAACGGGCACGGGCGCGAGCACGGCGACGGGCGCGCGGCTTGGTCGCGTGGGCGACGAGCCGGCCACGGCTTGGGCAAGCCCGGCACTGGCCGGGCCGGGCTGGCTGGCCGGGCCGGGCCGGCCGACCGAGGCGGTGACGCCGGCAGCAGCGACGCGGCGGCGAACTGAGAAAGAGATCAGCTGGGGGGTGAGGGTGAGGGGAGAGAGAGAGAGAGAGATCGGGGCTGAGGGAGAGGGGCGAACCGGCGGCGACGGAGTGGCACGGCGCGGCTGCTGGCGGGGTCGGGTGGCGTCGGGCTGGCCGGCTGGAGCGACGGCGAGCGGCGGCGACGCGGCGGCGAACGGCGGGAAGACAAAGGAGAGAAGAGGAAGTCGGGTGAGGCGGTTGGTGCGGCTAGAGGGGTGCTCGGCGGGACGACAGCGACGCTCAGGCGTCGGGACGGTGCTGGGGAGCTGGCCGGACGACGGCTGGGACTCACCGGACGCGGCGGCAAGCCGAGCTCGCGCGTTCGGGAGAGGAGGAAGGTAGCATCGGGACGAAGCTGCCGAGCGACGCGGCGGCATGGCGAAGGCGCGAGGGAGACGGCGGCGTCGGCGGCTGGTGGAGCGGGGTCGGGCGGAGGGCGACCGAGTGGCGGCTGCGGAGGCGGGGAGGAGCTGCGGTGGACGGGAGTCGGGGGAGGGGAGATTGACCAGGTGACGGGGCGGCCGAGGGAACTGCAAGCGGCTGGTCAGGCGGCGCGGCGCGGCGGTCGAGCTAGCTACGGCGGCGCGCGACGGCCAGGCGAGCTCAGGCGATCGGCGTCGGGCAACAGGGAAAAGGAACAGAAGCGGACGCAGAGGCTGGAACAGAAGCGGCGAGGAAGAAGAAGAAGAGAAAGGAAGAAGAAGAAAGAGAAGAAAAGGAGAAAGTAAGAGAGAGAGTGTGTCAGGGTAGGTCTGCATGGGCGTGGCTGAGGGGAGACGTGCGCGGCCAGAGGAGAAAGAGAGAGAGAGAGAGAGAGAGAGAGAGAGAGAGAGAGAGAGAGAGACGTGCGCGAAGGGACGTTGCACGGGGGTGGGTGGCGCGGCGCAGAGGAGAGAGGAGAGAGAGAGAGAAAGAAAAAGATAATTTTTATCTTCGAGCGCGATCCAACGGACACGGTTTAAACTAAAAATCGATTTAACGGTCGCGATTCAAATATTAAATGCGATCCGATGACCCAAATTCAAAACCGAAAGCGATCTACCGGTCCAAGATAAGCCTCGCATATAAAAAGGGACAAAGGCCGAATTAATTAAATCAAACTATATCGAGGGAGGTCTACTAGTCCAAATTCGCACCCGGTCAAAAACTCCCCTTTTTCCATTATTCCCGACAATCTCAACGCCGGCTACGATAATATTGACACCGTCCAATTTATTTCGTCCCGAAACTCCCGAAAATCGACCGTCAAGTTCGGGTCTAAATAACGGCCAAATTCGATCGAATGCGATTCTAGCGAAATCTCAAGATTTAAAAATAATAACCGGGAGTGATCAGTTCCCGGGCGAGATTTTTACTATAAGCGCACTGACGAAATACCCGTTTTATAAATCCCAAAAATGGGCCAAAATTCGGAATGTCACAATGATAAAATTAGTAAAAGTGCAATAGGTTTATGACTTTTTGGAAAATTTTCCCCCATATCTTACTTTCGAAAATGCAGAGCTTTTCCAATAAAAATTTTCAAAGCCCTTTTCCATCATAACTGTACTTCTGCCCTCCGGGAACCCGGATCCTCAGTAGGTTTAGAGGGGCGCTAGATTTTGTAATAAAAAATAATTATCTGTGTATACTTTAAGAAGTCTTTCATGCATATTTCATTTATGGCCATACACATCTTTGCATATTTTCGACATATTAGGTAGATTATACATCCTTCTCATACATTGCAAAATGGGTCTTAATAAATTCTTTGCATAATTTCGACATATTAAGAAATTCAAGGTTTATCACATCACATTAGCATATACAGTTTTTTTTCATACATAAGCCTCTCAAAATGGGTCTTAAACCCATATATGACTATAACTTTGAAGGGCCTATCTAAATGGGATTTAAAATGTAAAGACTAAAACAAATGAGTCTAAATGGGTTGGGCTTATAACTCATTTCCAACCAATTTCCCTATTTAGCCTTATAATCATATATATATTTTTTAAACGAAATTACATATTTTTTCTTTTTTCTTCTTTTTTTCCTTTCCCTTCTTCTTCGGCCGGTTGCCGGCCACAGGCAAGCCCTCAAGCTCGCCGGCCTCAGACGAGGCTCCAGCTTGGCGAGCTCGAGCCTCACCAGATCGGCGAGGTTCGAGCTTCGCCAATCGCCGGCCACAGTGACGGCCGAAGAAGAAGGGAAAAAAAAAAGAAAAGAGAAAAGAAAAAAAAGAAAAAAAATAAAAAATTCGATTTTTTAAACAAATAAACGAAAAAAAATTATTAAAATGAGTGCACGGAAGAAAATCAACTCAGATTTTCCATATCAAAATGATAGAAATTATTTTTTAATTCATTTTCAGGTTTCAATCAAATATCGGAAAATACTGTTATTTTCTTGAAAATTTTTTAGAAATGTCACATTTTTCGTGAAACAAACAAAACGTCAATTTTTTTTTATAAAAATTATCCACTAGATTTGTATTGCATATAAATGTTTTAACAATATAATTTTTTTTAAAAATCATAAGAAACAAAAGGAAAGAGTAAAGAACACATACTATGAGACTCTATGCACCGTGGTGAAAATTTGTTATATGAGTTTAGTATATACGTATAAAACCATATCTCGGATCGAATTGAAAAATGATATTAACGAATTTTTTTTACCCGAATTTACTCCTGCCCACCCTGTTCACATTATTCACAACGTTGTTTGCATCGAAGGTGTGAGGATATTTCTTGCTCCACATTAACAAATTTGATTAGCTACGCAAGAGATTATCAGATTGTCTTCTTCACACTTACAAGAGACAGTGTTTTGACTTTTTCTCACCTAAACTCCCTCCTACAAACCAAACCTCAATGCATGCTTATATAGCTCAAGAACCACCCTTCTCTCTTCCCTTAATTTGTACCTAAGCCATTTGTTCTGTCATTGAATCATCCGTTGCATTGCAGCGAAGATCGACATGAAGAACCAAAGCAAACCCATCCTCTTTTCTGCTTTTTCCCTCTTCTTTCTTCTTGCGCTGTGGAGCACAGCAACATCATCCATGACCGTAGAAGTTGGTAACGCCCCGCCTTCTCGTTTCATTTCATTTTTTGCTAGACCATACAATGTTATCCAGTATGGATTTATATTTGCTACACAGCCATGTAATACCAGTAGAAGAAAAGGAAAAAGAAAGTTTACATAGACTTATTAGATGCATGACATCTGTCAGTCAAATACAAAAAGATGTTGCAGACGACACACATTGTGAAATCTATACTACTGTGTAGAGCATTGTTTTCTTGTATTTCCCTCAATTTTTGGTCGCAGGAAAAGCGGGCTTCTTATAATGGGAGTTAAAAATATACATATTACCCTCATTTATATTAATTAGTAAAGCTCGCACGTGGGTAATGTCCTTATTTGTAGCCTAGTAATCAGAGGCCTGGAGAGCAAGATCTTTCTTTATACAGTACCAAATGAAAGTCGATGATTGTAATAATTTGTGCGGTGATGTGTATCAACTGTGGTGCGTGAAGAGGATGAGAGAGAGTTCGATTACACAGCCGGGAGCGAGAAGGGACCGATGCACTGGGGGAAGCTGAGGAAAGAGTGGGAAGCGTGCAACAACGGCGAAATGCAGTCGCCAATCGACCTGTCAAGCTGGAGAGTGAAGGTGATTCCCAAGCTGGGGGAGATAGAGAGGAGCTACAAGTCTTCCAATGCGACCCTCAAGAACAGAGGCCACGACATTTCTGTAAGTTTTAGTTACATCACTTCATACTCCTCCTATGTCCAATATATTTATTAGGGTTTGGGGACAATACAGAAAGATGATTTATCAGGAAAAGCAAGACCTTTAATGTGGCTAACGGCCTCTCTCTCTCTCTCTCTCTCTCTCTCTCTCTGTTTACATTGGTTTATGGGGAGTTTCTTTTGTTCAAAGCGCGTTCTGCTTGGCTCTAACCCAACCAAAATAGCCTTTCTTTTATATATAAAACAAATTGAAATTGCTTTTAGATATTATTATTTATAAGCATCTTTCTTTATAAAAAAAATTGGATAATCAATTAAAACCAAAGTTTGATTTCAAATTTAAATGTTAAAGTAAGGTTATGCCGAACTCCTCGAATAAAAGTTCGATTTGATAAGTAGGATTTAGTAAGTAGTGTGCGGATCTTGCAAATTGTAAATGGGTGTTTGTAATTGGAAGTAGTGCTTGTTAAAAAACCCAATGAGGCATTGTCGTGTGTATTTAGTGAAGAAACTTTGTTAAATGTCCCTACATATTATTGTTTTTTTCTATATGTTATTTTGATCCGTGACATCACTTTGACCGCCTAACTTCGTTTAAATCATGATGTAAAGTTTGTTTAAACAACTCTGTAGAAATTATCGAACTTATAAGGTCACATTGTGCCGTTTGGAATGGCTTTTTAATGGCTTTAAGCCTCCCAATTAGGCACATCCGTGTTTCGTGCTAAGACAACAAGAAATAATATTTTAATTTTCAAAAGTTTTGGACTACCTTAAAAGCAATTGTTTATTCGTCTTCGAGGCTTAGATGATTGACGCAAAAAAAAAAGAGGTGGGAAAAGAAAGAGTACCATCTTTAAAAGTTCACAGCAAAATCCAAAAGTCCAATGCCAAAGTAAACACCCATTGAAGATTAGACAACAAATGATGGATTGCCTGTGTGATTGCAGCTTCAATGGGACGTGGGAAGTGTTGGATCAATTAAAATTAATGGCACTGAATATTTTCTCCAACAATGTCACTGGCATTCCCCTTCCGAGCATACCATTAACGGCACAAGGTCTCTCTCTCTCTCTCTCTAAACATCAAACTATTATTCAATTAACATTGTACATGTAGTAATATGAATCTACAAAAATCTCACCGGAGCAACAGTCTAAGTTCATTTTAATACGTGTACTAGATTCACTGCAGATCTCCATCGAGCATCATCGGCATTCGCCATATGGTGTTGTATATTTAACAATTGTTTTTGGTTATGTGTGGTACATACTTTAGGTATGAATTGGAGCTACACATGGTTCATGTAAGCACAGACTCAGACGTTGAGAACAAGATTGCTGTCGTTGGGCTCTTCTACGGGACTGGCCAGCCAGATGCTTTCCTTTCCAAGGTAACTTCTTCATGTGCATCTTGTGTGTCATCGCCTCTTTATGCTCTCATATATCTATGCTCTTCATTATTTTGTTTCACATTATGCTGTTCATGTTAATGAGGATCTTAAGCATATTTGGTTAACTTCTTTAAGAATAAAAATTAGATTTTCCACGCACTGGCTATATATGTCATAAGAAAATTCAATTACTTGAATTTTATGACACGCGGGTGATCCATTGAAAAGTCAGGGCACCAAAGTGAGTACAATTAATCTTGAATCTCGAGTAATGGCCGAGCTACTGCCCACTGTTGGATTTAGCTCAAGCTTCCATATGTCACTTACGATGTCATTTTTTCCGCATATTTCGTATCATAAGTTACTGCTTTCATTAATTTGCGACTAATTATCCCATAGAGATACTTAATTTATTATAGCTAGTTCGCAAAGTCGATTAACAAAAGCGGTGTGCAGTTCGAGGTAATCAATAGCAATAATTGTGCGCTCGCAATTTGGCACTAACACTAGTAAATCAATTTGAGGATCAATTTAGTATACCTAGAATCGCCTATTTCTTAATGTCTTGGTGCAAAATCAGATGCCCCCAATTGTGAGGGATGTGTGTCCAATTGGTGTTTCAGTTAACGGAGAATCTACGGTCCATGGTTGACCAAGAGGGGGAGAGACAGATGGGCATGATTGATCCAACAGAGATCAAGATGGGTGGCAAGAAGTACTTGAGATATATGGGCTCTCTCACTGTCCCTCCTTGCACAGAAGGTGTCATATGGATTATCAACAAGCAGGTAATACAGGCCCAATAACACACTTTTTACCCGTAAATTTATATGTTCTTGCTTGGTCTATATAACCAAGTGTTTAAGCTTAAGTAACCCTTCAATTTGATAATCCAACAGATAGGCACTGTATCAAAGGACCAAATCAAGTTGCTCAGAGAGGCTGTTCATGATGTAAGCACACTAATTACTTGGTTACATGAATCTAGTGATCCATGATGCTCGCCTAACTGTAACTTGCGGCTGTCATAGAAATCGCAAGTCACGGAATCAAGTGAGTAATTAGTAATCATAAGTTATTTAGAAATAATCAATAAAATAAATGGTAACTTGCCTAGTTAATCAGGCCAGGCCGGACATGGCGATGAAGCCTTTTTGGTTAGGCAATGGAGATAGTAAAAATAGTATGACTTCGTTAGAATTGAGCGTCAACTCATGATTTGTGACATCCTGAAAATTGGTCAATGTGGGATTTATAAAATACTGAGTTTTATGAATGTACTCGTAATTAGTTCTCACTCGGAACTGATCATTCCTGGGATACTAACCATTAGGGAAAGGCTAATTAGGGATTTAAATTCGTACGACTAAAAGAAAATTCGATCGTGAATTGACTTTCGACCATAAAATCGCCGAGGTGACATTTTGAGCCACTGTTGGCCGATCCAAGGATAGAAAGGGGTCAGTTCGCCACTGTCAGAGTAGTGGATCGCGGGTGATACCGCCAGACCACGAAATGAATTGACGAATGATCCTGAACCTATACCGAACAATCGTACCCCTCGGATCTAGTGATCAATCCTCACGATTTAAATGACAACCGAAGTCGTCGCGAACCGAATAAAATTTCATGTGACTCGATTTATTATCAGTCGCGAGTCAAATATGCGAATTTCCTCAACGAGCCACCCGTTAGTTTGAGAAACGCTCGAGTTGCGTTTAATAAAATTTAATTATTTAATTGAGCCCAAATCAAACACCGGAAAATTAGGAAGTCATAACGGGGCGTTAGGACGACGTTGCAGCTGGAACGTGCAAATTTGGAATGTCCCGAATCCTTCAGAAAAATTTATTTTCGAGAAGAAATGAAGAAAGTGACCATTTTACCCCTAAGGATTTATAAAGGGTTAGTTATAAAGGGCAAGGGCATTTTGGTCATTTTGCCCTAAATTTTCGATTGGACATTTTTGCCCTTGGATTTTTATGAAATTCCCAAATTGCCCTTGGATATTTTGGGTAAGATTCGATCTCGGCCGTCGGTTTCAAGATAAGATCGAATCTGGGCCGTCGATTTCGTTTGTGAGAGAGGGGCAAGATGGTAATTAGCTAAATTGGGTCAAAATTCACTATTTAGGTCCAATTGACCCTTTCTCTCTCCTCACTCTCTCTCTATCTCTGACTCTCGGATCCACCTCCTTCTCTCCCTCTCGCCGACCGCCCCTCCCCTCGCCGATCGCCGCCGCATCATCACCGCCGTCCGTGCGCCCGCCAGTCACCGTCGCCGTACGCCGGCCGCCGCGTCACCGAGCCGCCCCCGACCCTCACACCGTCCTCTCTCTCTCCCGATTTTCTCTCTCTTGGCCGTGAGCTGGTCGGCCAAGGAAGGCCGCCGCCGCTCGCCGTTCGCCCAAGCCGCCAAGTCGCGCCGCCGTTCGCCGCCGCCCTCGTCCATCGCCGCCGCTTTTTGCTCTAGCCGAGATAGTCTAGGGCTCGGTAAGTCATATCCTAAACCTTAACTAGGATGTCGGGTATCGACGGAAAACTTTTCGGGTGAAATCGGGTTTAATTACGCGTAGAATTATGGGATTTAGGAGCGGAAATATTTGGCGGGCCTTAGGATTAAAATTGGAAGAGTTCGGTGGATTTTTAGAGGTCGATTGTTGGCTGGAATTTGCGGATTTGAGGGCTGTGATGTTTGGTTCGGTATGCAAATTGGGTAATTAGAACCGGCGATTAATGGTGTGAAAATATCGTGAAGAGTCGGAACTGATTTGGCGTAGTTTGGACCTGGAAAAATGCTAATTTGTATGTTAATGGTGTGTTTGTACTATGGCTGAATTGTGGTGATAAAATTGGGTGCGTGGTTGTGTAATTAATTGGTTGAAATATGTATATTGGGTGCACGCTTGGGCCAGACTGAATTAATTATTAAATTGGCCATGCCGAATGCTTAGTGAGCATGAATTGTGTGTGAATTTATGCGTGCACGGGTCGAGTGTGACTGGCCGATTGAGTGGCAAGTAACTGTTGAGTATGCGCATGAGCAAGAAAACGAATGTGGGGTGGCATGTGCGACTGTGAAAATTGTGCCGTCCTGAGGAGTGTACTTCAATGCGGGACGATGCCCGGTATTACCGGAAGACTGCCACCCTGAGGCATGTACTTCAACGCGGGTTGTGCAGTAGGTGGTAGATGTTGAGCCTGAGGCGTGTACTTCAACGCGGGCAAGAAACATGGCCTGAGGCATGTACTGTAACGCGGGCCGTGAAGTGTTGTGATAAGTTTGTCGCAGTGGACCTGAGGCATGTACTGTAACGCGGGCCACTGGCGAGAGTGTGGAAAAGATGTGATTAGACCGGGACGAATGAGCAAGAATAAGAATTAAGCATGCATGTGATTGCATATATTTAGTTGCGACTAACGTGCAGGGTACAAGCAGGATAGGCCCAGGTAAAAATAATTGATGTGCCTGTTATATGATGAATGTGTGTGTGATTGTGTTTGGTGATTATCTGGAGGTACGTGATAGCCTATGTGGGGTTTAGGGGTGTACTTACTGAGATGTAGTCTCACGGTTGTTTCAACCCAACATTTCAGAACCCCGGCAGAATCAATGAATCCCCCGCCGCCACCTGAGCGTTTTGGAGTACCAGTGCACACCGAACTGGAAGTTTTAGAGTTTCCCATGGCTGACAATATGACCTGGATTAAGCATACCACTACAGTTTTTTTAGACGTAGGTGTACCCCTATGGGAAGAGTATAAATATACCGCCTGGTTCTTTAGGGACGGGGTAGACTAGTTTGGACCCATCCGTGGTTTTGATGTCCCTTTTGATTTAGTTGGGGACTAGGACCCGACTGCCGTACCCCCTCCTGACGGCGAATTGACTAGTGCGGAGACCAGTATGGCTCAGTCTGGATTGCATCCAACGCCGGCAGCACAAGGATCTTCAGGGGCTGATCACGAACCTGAGCCCAAGGATCGCAAGCAGAATTTGACCCAATGGACGTAGATCTTGAGCCAATTCCCAAGGAAGAACCAGAGGATGTAAAGCCTGAAGCCGAACCCGAGGACGAGCCTGTCGAACCTGAAGACGAGTCAGAAGGAGAACCTGATTTTATTCTCCCGTTTGAGCAGTGGGCTGACCCCGAATTCGTACCAGAGTATAAGATCAATAGGGAGTCCGACTCAGAAGGGCAAAATGAGATTCCAGCAGAATCTGGTGACATCAATAACCCAATCGAGATTGAGGCTGAGTCGGAATCCTCAGAAGATGAGACTGTTCAAGGAGACCCAGATTCAAAGGACGATGAGTCGGATTCAGAATGGATGCCGAGTAAAGGGCGTAATGGCTAGCTTAGGGGTGGATTTTATACTTTTGGGGGTGTTCCATTTTTTAGAATAGAATGACTAGGTCATCGGTTCTTTTTGATATCGATGTTTCATAGTACGGTGTGCACATGTATATGATGGTTTGTAAAATTGTGAATATTATGGTATAAGTTTGAATGAGAAAAGAATATGTGTATTCTCCCTACTCTCCCCAGAGATGATTGTCAGGGTGAATTGTGGTTTCCACTGTTGAATTAAATCTCTGATGTTTATAAGTGGGGTCGGCGATACACTGGGATATCGCATTATTCGACCAAAGAGGAATGTCGCGATCTCGTTGGGGTTCGGGACGTGACATCCTAGTTGAATTGGTATCAGAGCGAGGACAGCTCGATCTAGACTGGTCGAAGTTTGGAGTAATAAGGAATAGAGATTTTGGGGTAGAAAATTTGGGAGACTTTAGTGAGCTATAGGGTGGAATAAGCTATACGTGCCTCCATATTGTTTGTTGTGATTGATTGAGTTAGTTGTTTGTTGCGATGACTGAATGCAGGTGCGTCTGGACCTGAGGTAAGTGTTCAGACCCTATTGATTGTGACCTTGTGTTTGTAGTAATGGATTGCCTGCTGGGTGAATTCTTGTGTTAATTCACTGTCTAGGACTAGACTGATCTAGTTGGCCTAGATTACTAATTCCTGAGTGGAATTATAGCAGGTAGGAGAGTGGTAGAACTGATACAATGAGCAACGAAGAAAGAGGTGTAGGAAGAGTCCCAAGAAGGGGCGTAGGAAGAGGATCGAGAGGTAGAGGTCGTGCTCGAGCTAGAGCTGTAGAGGACCTCGGAGTGGGTGCTGTAGCGATAGAAAACCCTGGAATTAATGCTGGAGCTGCAGTGGACCCCAGAGTTGATGTTAGGCCTGCAGAGAATCCTAGAATGGAAGCGGTCATGAGGACCCTAGAGCAGATTGGTAATATAATAGGACAGCAGACTCAGGAAAGAGCTGCTACAATTGCCCAAGCTGCCGAGGCCGCTGCTGCCGTTAATAATAATGAGAATCAAGGGCAGGGGCAAGGGGTTGTGAATAGGCCAATGCACCAATTGGTAGAGCAATTTATGAAGTTAAAACCGCTTAAATTTTCTGGGAAAGGTGACCCTGAGGCTGCACCTCGATGGGTAGAGGAATTTGAGAAAGCTTTTGAAGTATTAGAGTGCACTGATAATGAGAAAGTAACCCTAGCAGTATACCAGTTGCAGGATAACGCGAATGATTGGTGGAAGGCCACCAGAGATAGAATATTTTCGGAAGGTACTGCCCGGACTTGGACTGCTTTTACTAAAAGTTTTTATGAGAAGTATTACTCGGCTAGCGCCAGGGAAAGGAAGTTAGCCGAATTTATGAAACTCCGCCAAGGCCTGATGACGGTAGATCAATACGAGGCAAAATTTGCGAGATTGTCTAAGTTTGCGCCGAGAATGGTAGAACATCCCGATGATAGGCGCGAAGATTTCGGGACGGATTGAAGGCTGATATTCGCAGCCAGTTGTTACTGGTAAATCTGAGGACGTACGAGGAAATATTTGATAGAGCTCAAGTTCTAAAGCGAGATCAGGTGGAAAGGGCTGCTACTTCTGGATCAAGGTTTGTCCAGGGTAGGGATAATCGTAATCCTGGGAAGAGACCAATGTTGGATAATAGGCGTTTTACTCCTTCCGTTAGAAGAAATATTGGGAAGCCAGCCCGGAATCAGAATGGTCCCTGTAGAATATGTGGAGGTAGGCACGGAAATGGACCTTGTCCAACCCGGGGCGGAGCGTGTTTTGGATGTGGAGGATTTGGTCACCACATAAGGACTTGCCCCAATCCCAGACAGAACAGGCCGCCTGCGTTGCCGCCACCTCGAATCGGGAATCAGACTGGAGCGGCTCAGACAGCAAACCAGAATAGGCCTCAAGCGCAAGGATGAGTATATGCTATGGCCAGAAGAGAGGCTGAGAACGCACTAGGGGTTGTCACAGGTACGATTTCTCTGTGCAACCATGCTGCGTATGCTTTATTTGACCATGGGGCGTCACATTCTTTCATATCGAATCAGTTTGTTGAGTTAATTGGATTGGAACCGCAATTGCTTGATGTGATGTTATGTGTGACAACTCCCTTAAATGATAAAATGCTGGTCTCATTGGGGTGTACAAATTGTAAGATCGTGATTGGGGATAGGGAGGAGAAGATTGATTTAGCGGTTCTAGACATGTACGATTTTGATGTGATAGTGGGTATGGACTGGCTGTCTAAGCAGAGGGCCGTAATGGATGGCAATAGCAGGGTGATCCAATTTAATCCCGTTGGACATCCAGAATTTAAATTTGTGGGAAGTTGAGGAGGACCCTCGATTCCGTGGATTTCGTCACTAGAAATGACGAAGTTGCTGAGTGAAGGTTGTCAAGGATTCCTAGCGGCAGTAGTTGATTCAACGGCTAAGGAGCCGAGGCTTGAGGATATAGCTGTGGTGTGTGAGTATCCCAATGTGTTCCCTCAGGAATTGCCGGGACTGCCACCAGTAAGAGAGGTAGAATTTGTAATCGAGTTGGCACCTGAAACCGAATCGATCTCTAAAGCACCTTATAGAATGTCATTGTCGGAATTGAAAGGGCTAAAGGTGCAAATGCAAGAGTTGTTAGACAAGGGATTTATTCGTCCCAATGCGTCTCCGTGGGGAGCGCCAGTTTTATTCGTAAGAAAGAAAGATGGCTCGTTGAGGTTGTTGCTCGTAAAATTCTGCACGTGTCAACGAACGTGTTGAACAAGTAATATAATGATGAGAAGAGTATCGTCCCACAGAGATTGATGATAATAAACAAATTAAATATTAAAAATGGACTAATTCTAAAATTTATCTAACTGATCAAAATATAATTGAGAACAAATAAAAATTGACAATTTTTAAAAACGAAATTTTTTAAACTAAAGGCAGATAATCAATCAGGTAAAATATGTTAGAGCATCCAATTTCACCATAACCACTAGATATGAATTTCGGATCATTATGCATACAAGAACAATATCAAACATGTGATAGCGGAATTTCCTAGTCTATTTACTATCCTATCTCTAGGTATAGCAAACCTACTCAGTTTATCAATTCACTATATTTCTATGTGAATTTAAATAAACATAAGCGCATTAAAATCTGTGAATATTCCCGGTTTACAATGAATCTTTTGGACCACCTTATCACCGAAAGCTACACAAATAACATGGTATATTTCTATCCACATTTAATGCATGGTTATATATTATAAGGAGCAATTGCATATTATTACTTCTCAGTCTCAAACATGCACATCGGATCATTCAAGTAGTGGCCAATCACCTAAACGCATTAAGCACAATAATATATAACTCACATGAATGAAATTACTTGCAAAGCATAAAAAGCATGAAATTCATATCATCATGGTTAGGCTACATCGTAGCTCTAACAAAGAAAATTAGAACATAATAGAAGAAAAAACGAAAATATAAATTAAACCAAACATCTTGAATCAAAGAACAAGAATTCTGTCACCACTTTTGTCTTCTCTTCAAAATACTTGAAAAACTCTCAGAACACTAAAAACAAAAACGATCTAAAAAAACTCCATGTTCCCCCAAGTTATCATATTTATATGATAACATCCAAGACTCCTCTCACAAGGCAATGGCTTCTTTTTCGTATAAAATTAGGGAATAAATCGCAGAATTCCCAATGTGATATCCACCTTCTAACTCTTCTCTGGGTTGCATATTCCTTTCCTTCTTTTTGCCATATTTTCCTTATTTTCTCCATATCTCAATATTCTGCATAAACAAGGAAAAATTAAGTAAATAAAAGGAAATCCAAATATATTCTAACAAATATTGCATTATTTATTGCCTAGAATAGATAAAATAACTCTATTTTTATAGAGTTATCAAACCCCCAAACTTAACATTTTGCTAGTCCTCGAGCAAAAGCAAGATATAAGACATACTTAAGCTAACAACCCCCTCCATGACTTCCTTCCATAATTGCTCGAAATCACAATTCAAAGACAAACAAAAATTTCATCCAAACATTGAAATAGATTCATAAGTTAAAACCAATTCTAACTATGTGATCCAAGTGTGTATGTGAGTCCTCATCTTTTCGAATTATATGCAATCCAGATAAGTTCACATTGGTATGCAACCTCTCAAAAACTCTTTATAATTATAACCAAATCTCATAGGTTTGCTTTTCATTCCTCTCTCCACTAATGCAAGCTAATCATCCAACCAAAAATCAATAGGACTTTCCTCAGGTTGTAATGTAAGGCTGGGCTAACGGTGAGATAATGGTAAATTTAAGCTCAAATCACCCATGAACACATTGATTTCTAGGATCTAATTGGAGCATATGCCACTATCCCCAATTTCACATCTTCAAAATAATCTTTCTGCCACCACGTACCATCATGCTTTCTCCTTTTTTTTTTGTTTTTTTTTTCTCTCTTTTTTTTTCATTGCTTTATGGTGGAGTTCCTCCCTAAGTCCCTCCTAATATAACGTGAACATTCCCAACCCATTGAGTATCCGAAAGGCTCACTCAATTGAAAGTTGGATAGGGAACCATAAAAGCAATTTTTTTTCAAACAACCATAGCAATCAAATTATTTCCATGCTCCACCCTTCCTCCCAAATAAACTTTTATCCTAAAAAATTAACATGTTCATGGGGCGTGGGACAATGATATAATTTGGCAAAAGGTAAGCTAAAAAAATGCGGGTGCCAATAAAAGATTGGATAATAATTAAGGCTCAACGGGGGTGACTATGGATAAATAAACAGGGTTGGCTTGAAAGGCTCAATCGATCCAAAAATTGCCTAAATCATTTTCTCAGTTAGATGTAGCCTAGGATTTCGCCTCAAGAGAAAATCAAACAAATTCTAAGATTTGGGTGAGATCTAAGAAAAGCACATACTTCACGTGAATGTTCTCTAGATGTACACACTACTCAAAAATTAAGGACTTCTAGTGCTCAGTAAGTGGATCGACATCATCAGAATCAAAATTAACTCACATATCATTCGCAAGTTTGAACAAAATTTAAATTTTCCTAAGAATCGCAAAAATTCACAACAAGGAATGCAAAAAAAAAAAAAACAAATTCAGATTTAGCAAAAAAAATTTTGAGCAAAAATTTTGTCTCCCCCCAAACTTGAATGAAGCATTGTCCTCAATGTGAAATACAAAAGAAACAAAAGAAAAATAGGAACAAGAAAACTCCCCTTGCTGTCGGATGTGTCTATGGATGGTCTTGATGACTAAACTCCAAAAAGGTGATCCTTCAAAAAAGAAAATTAACCTGGATAAAAAAAAATTAAACATGTTTTTTTTTTTTGAAAAAAAATGAACGTAAAAATTAATGAAGAAACATAATAAAAATGCTTGGGTTGCCTCCCAAGAAGCGCTTGCTTTATAGTTTTCAGCCAAACTATCTCAGATGTCGTTATTCTGGAGGATGAAGTTCAATAGTGGTCTTCTGCTTGTTGTACCCACCTTTGAAGTAGGGCTTCAAACATTGACCGTTCACCTTAAATGTGCCTTCGGTGTCATGTGCAACTTCAACTGCTCCGTATGGAAATACCTGTGTGACTGTATAAGGACCAGACCATCGAGAACGTAACTTTCCTGGAAAAAGTTTAAGACGAGAGTTATAAAGTAAAACTTTTGGCCAATTTCGAACTCTCTTCTGAATATGTGTTTATCATGCCATCTTTTGGTACGCTCCTTGTACATCTTAGCATTTTCATAGGCCTCATTGCGAAATTCCTCCAATTCATTTAGTTGCAACAATCTTCTTTCACCTGCAGACTGCATGTCAAAATTCAGAAATTTCAATGCCTAATATCCTTTGTGCTCTAATTCCACCGGTAGATGACAAGCCTTCCCAAACACTAGCCTAAAAGGAGACATCCCAATTGGGGTTTTGAATGCTGTCCTATAGGCCCAAAGTGCATCATCAAGTTTCATTGACCAATCTTTCCTAGAGGCATTCACTGTTTTTTCTAAAATTCTCTTGATTTCCCTATTTGAAACCTCTACTTGACCACTAGTCTGAGGATGATAAGGGGTTGCAACCTTATGTGTGACTCCATACTTACTCAAAAGTGCTTCAAACTGTTTGTTGCAAAAGTGTGTCCCCTTATCACTTATGATTGCCCTAGGAGTGCCAAATCGCGTAAAAATATTTTTCTTCAAGAATTTGACAACAGCCTTAGCATCATTTTTTGGCAATGCTACAGCTTCTACCCACTTAGACACATACTCCACAGCCACTAAAATGTATAAATTACGATAAGAAGATGTAAAGGGTCCCATGAAATCAATACCCCAAACATCAAATAATTCACACATAATAATGTTGTTTAAAGGCATCTCATTTTTTCTAGAAATATTTCCAGTTCTCTGACACCGGTCACATGAAGCTACAAAGGAGTAAGCATCTTTAAAAAGTGTGGG